TCTACCGAACATAGAGGCAGGATTCAAAGTGACTCTACACTATGCGTTTTTAACTGTAAGGGATACTATCTTTATCATTGTATGAACTACAAATACAACTCATGTTTCTCCAAGAATTAAATCTAATTGTTCTAAATAATTGCAAATAATGCTGCCCAGTACCTCTATTTGTTTCCCCTCAAGAATTATACTATTTCGGACTGGTTATCCTGCTTCTATTTTGTGTAGAGAAAACAATTTTTTTCTGTAGATGCATATATAATAAATTTTTTGATAATAAAATTTTCTATTAATTTTATCCAAAGGGGAGCAATACATTTAATGCATAAAGCAAGGGAACCTTTGATGTGGAGCCTGAAATCATGTTTATTGATTGGAAATCTTCTATAGGAAATGATTTAAGAATTCATGTTGTATCCAAACTTCATGTTCCAGGAGGACTAATCCTGAGCAGTCTTCATTGTTACCACTTTCAGTAAAAACTCAGGAAACCATCAATTAGTTTCTCCTTTTATTTTAATTTAGAATTCTTTTAAAATTCTTTAATGCGATAGAGCAAATATTCTTTTTCATGTGCACTTCCTATAAATACAAACCTCACATTAATCATTCTGTTTTCTATTATAATTGCCTTGTCTCGTCTTTTAAATCAATCAGTCCCCTCTCTCTTTCTCTCTCTCACACATACACGCATGCACACACACACACACACACACACACACGGACTCACACACGGACTCACACACAAATTCACACACCATGAGGCAAATTTAATAGTAAACAATACCTAAAGAAGAGACATATGTCATAATAGCACAATAGCCTAGAAAAAGTCCAGTATATATAGATTCACAAAACATTTTGTTGAATAAATGAAAGTATGGAGGAAGTTTAAAAACTATAGGAGACTATTGAAAGTGAATTGAGGAATTACAGTAATTTATAAATGTACAAGTGGGAAACAAAAGAAATCTTGTGGAACAGTTATTAAGCAGTCTTGACAATTCTAATTTTGGAAATTTTTTTAATTCTGGGTTTTATGGAAACTCTATCTTTCGTAAACATCACTTTTTTATTAGCATAACCCATGACCAGGGAAGAAGATATTCTGCCACCTCTCAGTTATGCCTTTTCTCTTGGATTCTTAGTACCGCTTTTCCTTTCATTCTTAATTTTTAAAGTAGTTGTTTTGGTGGTTTGGTGGGTGTTGTTAGTGTGGGGCCAAAGAGTACAGTTAACTTGGAATAAAAAGTTCTAAAATGCAATAGGTGGGATCAGGATACTTGGATTCTAAGTATCAATCTGCTGCTAATAAGTTTGAGATTCTAAAGACTGACCTCCCATTTCTATGTCCTGGTGCTTTCTACTTCCAAATAATAGGATAAT